ACGTCAGGCAAATAAAACTCTTGTTCCAGTGATCGCATCTTCGTCTTCTGGATATGTACCTTTCCTGAAATTTAGCACAGGAATACATGCATTATTTTGGGGATTCCTATCCAGATGTTCGCTCGAAAACATTTTCGGCATTTACTTCTCCCTACTAGACCCTGTATATACGTTTAGTTGCTTTTTGCAAGTTACAGTATACACTTATCCAGTGTCATGCGACCCACCTTCTGGAGGAGAAATCGCTGATGCCATAAAAAGGCTGCAAAACAATAAGGCACCTGGAGAGGACGGCATACCCACGGAAATCTGCAAGTCTTCTGCCGACAACCTAGCGCCTTGGTTCCATGAGGTGATTGGGCAAGCGTGGAGATATGAGGCCGTTCCTGATGACTGAAGCTCAGGCATCCTTGTGCCTGTCCACAACAGGGGAGATCAGACAAGTTATGAGAAATAGCGCGGCATAAGCCTCATCGATATTGCTGCAAAGATCTTCGCCATTGTTCTCCTCAGGCAGTGCCAGTCTGTGCGCGACTCCAGGACGCGACCCAACTAGACCGGAGTTCGCACGGGGCATGGACGTGTGGATGAGATATTCATACTGAGACGGATCCTTGAATTCCGCCATAGCTACCAACAGCCAACGGCCATCTCCCTTGTTGACTTTGCTGCTGCGTTCGACTCCGTCCGTTGTGACTCCCTAGGGCGGATAATGGCATTTAATGGTTTACCACAAAAAATAATCGCCATGATCAAGGCATACTACCACTCCACTACTCAGCGGGTTCTAGTCCACAACAACCTCGCAGAACCTTTTTCTATTCGGTCTGGCGTTCGACAAGGCTGTGTCCTATCGCCCATCGAGAAGGCCCTACAGAAAAATGACAGAAGTGAGTTTGCAACCAGGCACCGGTTGACTGACCTCAACTATGCCGATGATATCGCTTTACTAGCTTCAAGCTTTGGCGATCTCCGGTTTATGGTGTTACGGGTGAACGAGGTCGCGAAATCGGTCAGTTTGTCCATAAAAGCTGGGAATAGCAAAGTGTTTCCTTGTGGCATCTCTGGCCAAAAGAAGGCGCCTCTCGAGATTAGTGGCTGTCAACTTGAAGATGTAGACATTTTCAAATACCTCGGAGTGAGGTAGCTGCAGAGTGGACAGAGTAAGGATGACATTGTCTCCCGAATTGTCGCAGCACGACGAGTTTCCTCCAGCCTTCGAGAGGGTCTATAGACCCGACGCGATATTTCTATCGCCACAAGGATCCGCGTGTAACGTGCATCTGTGCAGTCTGTTCTTCTATGCGGATGCGAATGTTGGGCTTTGCGCTTGGAAGAGGAACGGAAGCTGGAAGTATTTGACTACTACTACTTGAGAAGCATCCATCGAATAAGGTACACCGACGTCGTTCTAAATGAGACAGTGCGCACTCGCTGTGACAAAATCACAAGGATATCCCAGGCC